GGGGGGGGCTTTTGTCATTCGCGCTTGGTGAGACGCGCCCGGCTTCACGGGGGGGTGGGAAACGCCCCGCCCGGTGCCGCTCCCAGGAAATGTCTTCTGGGGGCACCTCTGCGGGGTCCCCGGTCACTTCGGGCAGGAGTGTTTTCGGTTTCAGGGGATGTGACTCCCAGAAGAGTCAGTCTTTAATAAACTAGGAGGTTATAAAGGCTGTGAGACATCTCTCTTGGAGACGTACAAACACGTCCTCGTATGGTTGGAACCATGAGATGTGAATTCTCTTGTATTCATTTCTTTAAATTTTAAAAAGTATCGTTTCTTCTTAAGATATGTTAGATGTTTATGATAGGAATGTACATCTTTAAGTCGTGCTGGAATTCTCTGTTGAGTTCTCCACAAATGCTCTGGTGAACACCTTAAGGTAACCAATATATATTCTGAATTGTCATAACATGAAATCCCTGCAGAGCTGTTCTGAAGGCCTTGGGGTCAGTTTCAGTCTTGGTGGTCTCAAAGTTTCAGAACGGGATCTTAGTTTCAAGTGTAAACAGCTTATGAAAGCATCGGGATTGAGTTAATGTGCACACTGTCATGAGTTGTTTATCCTCTGAAAAAGTATTTGTGCCACTAATACATACTGTAGATACTGTGCTGCTTTATATTACCACCCTAAAGTCATGTTAAGTTTTTCTAAAACTAAGATGAATGTTGAACTTCTTACAGCCATGCAAGAAACGGCGCGAGGACGATGCTTCTGTAAAAACAATCACAACATATTTTTCACCTTTATCAAAACCAGTGGATAAAGTGTTGTCACCACCAAAACCCAACAACATATTGGATTATTTTAAAAAGCCATCTCTACCTGAGAAAGCTACATTGCCAGTTGTAGCTGGTGAAACTGAAACACCATTGGATGCTGATGACAACAACTGTAAGTCACCTTTTAAACCACCTTTGAAGAGGAAGAGGAAAAGGAAGAGAGTTAATAATAAGCTAAGAGAGATGCAAGAATCTGAGAATGAACATGAGATAGAAATTAGTAATGATGTCAGCAGAGAAACAACAGGACTGGAACAAGACAGTAATGATTTTATTGCTACTTGTACTGTAGTTGACCATAAAAGTGCAAGAGAATTAGCAGAAGATTATGTCCAAAGAAAGGACTTCTCTGATGCTGTCATCAATAGAAAAAATGCTAAGAAAGTTGGTTCTGAAATAAGTAGAACAAAAAACAGGATAAAAAAATCAAGGAAGAGGAAGCACAAAGCAAACATGGATTTATCTGAAAATTTTTCATCTGAAGACCAATTGAATGAAAAGTGTAAAAAAGAAGCTGAAGATGACAAAGAGATTGTGTCTCCTACAATAGCAGAGTGTGACATTGCTATTAATGACTCCAGTTTTGAAGTTCATATGGATGATAAGTCATCACAGGTAAATAACAGTATAATAACAGTGTCATTTGAGGACTTCCTGAAGAGTCAGGGAGAAAGCAGTGTAGAGCATGTTGAAGAAGACACAAAGCCAACAATGGACAATTCTGCTACAACAAATGAAATGGACAAAAGTGATAGTGACCCAGAAAAGTGTGAGGAATCTCAGCAGCTGCCACTTAGAACAGTCACTGTCCTTGCACAAGTTCACTCCATTCCCCCAAAATTACCTCCATTAACTAAGGAGCAAAAAGGCTCTAGGAAAATAGCTTCCATTTTTTTGAAGCAGAAAGGAGCTGTAGGGGAAAAAGAAAGCAGCCCACCCCTCTTGGACAATGAACAAACTGAACAAGTGTCTCAGAAAAGGAAATCTAATGTAGTTATTGAGGAAGAAGAATTGGAGTTAGCTGTGCTAGAGACTGCAGGGTCAGATCCTTTGAAGCCAAAATGTACTGTGGAAGAAAGGCATCAGTTTATGAAGGCGTTTAGACAACCAACACCAGATGTAATGAAAAGTGGAGTTAAAAAGGCTCCTATAAAACAAAAGCAAGGCCTTGGAAAGTCTTCCAAACAAAAAGAAGGACCTGAAAATGACATTGCTTCAAATAAAGGATTAGGAAGTGGAGTACCAGAAGATTATGTGGGTAAATATACACATTCTAGTTCTAAAAACAACAGAACTAAAACCAAAAGACCTAGAAAGTTTCAGAAGAAAGGAAACAGAAGAAGGAAGGTTTCAGAAACTAAGGAGGTTAATGTCTCTAATACTAATGATTCTAATGAAGATGAGGATTTGGGAGCTAATGTTCTTTCTAAGGAAAATGCCTTAGATGGAAGAATTTCATCAAGTCCAAAAATGAATGAGTTAAGGAGAAGTTTAAGGCAGAAGAAAACCAAAGCATCAAAAAATGTTACACCTAAAAAAACCAAGATTAGAAATACCTTTTCTGAAGATGAATTAAGCAGCTCTTTTCAGACTTCTACACCAAAAGCGAGAGAGCGAACCTCGAGGAAAAGTCATGTGTATAAAGCTGAGGTGATTACCCTGCCCTATGATGGGGACAGCCCAATAAGGTAAATAAACATTTTAGAGTATATTCTACCTTATTGCACTTTTTCTGGGAGCATTTTAATAGTAAGACAGATCTATAACCTGACTGGGATGCATACCAGAGATGCATGAATACTGATTGTGTGGGATGAGAACCAGAGTTGACTCTGTCCCTGTGCTTACACTGAAGACATTAAAAAAACCCCTAAGCATTAAAAAAACCCAACCAGCCAATAATTGGGGGGGTTGCTTCTCTTTGCAGCACTGTATTTTTAAAAGCTTTTCAAAATGAGACTGAGAGTAGCATTTCCCTTTCTTAAAAAGTAATAATTTAATTATACTTTTTTCCCCAATCAGAATGAGGTTTACACGCATCAACCCAGCTACAAAACCAAACAAAGCTGGAGCAATGAAAAAGGAAGAGTCTAACTCCAAAAATATAAAGGTAGTTTATGTAACTGTTTGTGTTTCAATATTTTGTCATTTACTAAATGCAAATAATTGTGTTAATATTCAGTATTGTGTAATAGTCTAATACAATATGACAGTTTTCAGATGCCCTATGGAATGAGACTGTTGCTGTGATTTATGATGGAATCTGAGCTAGTTTCTTGTACAGTCATTGTACCTTAGATTTTAAAATATGTTTTATCTACTTTTCATAACAGAGAAATCCAGTAAGATAGTTCTGCAGGTTGTCAGGATGGGACATAGTGTTTGGACACAGCAGAACAGCTTATGCTTAATAACATCACTACCCGTATTACCTTTGTTCTGTGGACAAACAGGAGGATCCTCTTGTTTGGCTCTCACTCCTTTTTGAAAAGTATTTATATCATCATTGTTTGCTCCTCCTTTCTGTCCTTTCATTTTCGTTTTGATACAAGGAAAACTTTATAAAAAACACCTGTTTATATGAATGCGAAAAATTACATGAATATGTGAAATACCAAATATGTTGCTATGAATTGCAAGGTGTTTTTTTCTTTTGTACTTTGTTAGCAGATGAGCTCTACTTCTAAAAATATATCCAAAGCAAAACAGCTAATAGAAAAAGCAAAGGCCATAAGGCACAACAGATCAAAGGTTATTGAAGACCTACCAGCTCCTATGAGGCGCTCATCTCGTCAGCGAGTTCTTGCTGAAAAGAAAGAAATACAAGAAGATGAAGTAAGTCTGTTTACTGTGTAGGGGAAAAACGTTTTTATGTTTTTGTGATTCCTTTGAGCAACAAAAATGATTCTTGCAAATGTTTCTCTCAAATACTCAAATAAAGCGGGTGTCTGTGCAATGGTATGGTACATGGCAAACAGTAAAGTGTGCCAGGCACAGACTGGAAAGCTCATCCTAGTGCAGCTCTGTACAGTGCAGCAGATGGTCACACTTCAGAAGTGACTTCTTCCTGATGGACAACAAAGTATCTGTTTCAAATCTGTATGTTTTAGATTTCTAAATTTAGATGAGAGTAATTTTAGCCTTCATTTATATATTAGAGATCTTACTCAAAATACTATTTCTCTGCAGGAAACAGTAACAAAACTATTGTATAGTCTCCAAATTATATTTGCTAACTGCAAAGCCCATAACAGTTTCTTCACTTCAGTCATCACTAAATCGTATCGTTAATAATGGAGGAAAATTTGTGTTTCCTTTCTTATTTTATTTGCTTTCCCTCTAGGAATCAGTCATAATTTTAGATTCAAGCCTGGATAATGACACCACAACAGTGCAGAATGTGAAACAAAAGAATCTGCGAAGCTTAAATGATGTTTTGGGGAAAAAGACTAGAAACTTGAAGGTTTCAAAGAACTCAAATGGTAATTGGGTTCTTCTGAATGTATTTTATTTTTATTACAGTTATTGGCTATTATAAGTTTATTTTATAAAGCTGACTTTGCAGTACTTTTGTCTTCTGATTTTTTAAAGAAAATATTCCAACATATATACCTTTTATTTTTATGATATGAGTTAATAGTGCAGAGGTTATTTACATGTGCTGCTTTGATTTTTCTTCATTTGGAGAAAACTGTTTGTTTGAAAAGCTTCCAATAGTACACCATGTTTTGTTACCTTCTAAGTTAAGGGATTTTTTTGGTACTGTTCCAGAAAACAACATCCATAGTGATGAAATAACTAGAAATAAAACTATAATGAATTTTGTGAAAATACACAGCTCTCCCTTTAAGAAACAGAAATTCTCTATTGTTATTAAATTGAACATAGAGACAGTGGAGAAGTAAAGTTAGAATCCTATATCTGTGCTAACTTAGTACATTTTTTTTTTTCTTCTTTTTAAAGGAAAACTGGGATATTCATCTTCCTTCCCAGGTAGAAATGCTCAAAACTCTGCAGGTGAACCAATTGTGATCTTTGATGAAAGCAGGTCAGTTTTCAGGATTCCAGTTGCTTAAGAATCAAAATCTATTTCAAGGTTACTTTAACATTCTTCTCATTTTAAAAATTTAAATACACTTACGGAAGTGTGATTTAAATGTTTGTGGGTTTTATACTGATCAGTATGCTAATCTGCTTGCAAAATATTGGGGGTTTCCTGGGGAGTTGTTTCCTTAACCATTGTTGAGTCATTTTTAGATGGTTGGAAATGTAGTTGATGACTGATTAAAAAGTAATCCTAAATTGCATCTAAAAAAACAAATCACAGCATTATAGAATGCCAGGTTGGAAGGAATCTCAAGGATCATCTGCTCTAACCTTTCTAGGAACTAAATCTCATAACAAAAAATAAAATTAAATGTAAACTTACTACATTTAAATTAATTTTAGTGTTTGTCCAAGACTATTTGTAATTCATGTGTAAAAGTGAATGTGATTAAACTGTATTATAGGACTTAAACTGTTGGTAGTACTAATGATTTATTCTTTTTTTTTTTTTGTCATTTCTATTTTCATTAAAGCCAAGATGCATATGAAAATTCTCAAGATGATTATCAGTTTAGAGCAAAACGTGAGTTCCTGATGAGTGGATTGCCAGAGTCACTGAAAAGACAGATTGCAAAGAAAGCAGCAGCACTGGAAGCATACTCTCTTGCAAGTTCCTGTTTTAAGACTGTTGTTCATGTCCAGCAGAAAGATGACTGTAAGCTTTTGTTCAGCCTTTGTGTAAATGCTTACAATAATTCCTAGGAAATCTGTGCAGAAAAAAAACTTGAATGGCAGAACTTATTACGACTGGAATAGCTGGTAGTTCCCTCGTTTGTGTCACAGTAGGAAAGCAAAACGTACAAGCTTCCAGTGAGACTTTTTTGAATGCACAATTTACCAAATAAATTGGTGCTAAAGTCATGTACACGTTTAGAGGTGAGGATGCAAAATCCTTAATATTTATTCAAAAGTCTTTCAAGTTCCAATTTGGAGAGTAAAGATCATGTTGGACTGATTGGGGCAGAAACCATTTCCCTCTGACAAAAGCCAAGTATTTCTCAGAAGAGAAAAGAACAGCTCATTTTTTTCCCCACTAGTGAGGGAGTGTGCTACAATGTTCTTACGAAAGGGCATGACAGAGCAGAAGGTAGAGTAGCACTTAACCGAGTTTATATTGCAAACCAACCAATAAACAAACAAAAACCTTGGTTAGGATCTGTCCTACAGAGACCTGGTGAGGGCACAGTTATTTAGAGCAAGCAGAGCCCAAGACTAACTTACTGGAGAAATGTATGGAAAAACGGGCAGATTTGTTCTGCTTGTGGGAGGTGGAATTAATAAAGATAAAACACTGATGCAGTGTAAGTTAAATAAGCTTGGTTTTGATATTCTAAAGCTGTAGCTCAAACAGCATTTACTTTTACTGTGGGATGGTTTTGTCTGTGACTGTACCTCAGTTTTGTTAACTGAAGTTTCCTTTTATTTTGTTTTTGGTGGGGGTTATTTTGTAGGTTCTCCAATGTGGAAACTGGAATCACCTTCATGTCCCCTATTAACTAAGCTAAGGAAACTGAATACTGAAGTCACTAACATCACAAAAACCACTCTCTCACTTGGTCAGTTTTCCACTGTGAATTCCAAACTAACTGGAAGCTGTTCTGCACCTGTGGTAAGTACTTCAAAATGGGGGCTTATGTTACAAGAAGAATTAAAGTTGAAATTATTGTGTTACTTGTGAGGTCTTGTGTTGTTTTAAAAAATCTTGTAGTTTGAAACTGAATTCTTTTTTTGTACGTGGTTTACCCTTTCTGCATCGTAACGTTGGACACTTCTCAAGGATCTCTGTAAATGGTTTAACAAGACAACTACTAATTTAAGTTCTTTAAAACTGTTACTGTTTTTTAGTAATAATTTTATTGTATGTGTGTTACAGCTTTCTGGCTACCGACCAGTTTTTCCTGATACATTCAGGAAAGAGTTACTAGATGAGATCATGTTTTCTAACTCTCAGTTTCCTGTGAGAAAATACTTCTACAAGTTTCTGAAAAGGCAAACGGAACGGTTGGGTTTTGAAAACAGTCTGCAAGGTTAGTAACCTGTGTAGGCAAAAATAGTCATTCACACACTCTCTCTGCCATGAAACAGTAACTTGAATTTCCTGGGATACTGTTGCAGATAGATTTCTCCTCACATTTTAGGTAATTTTGACTAAATTCTTCAAGGATGACTTAGACCGAAGGTTGCAGTGGGCACAGTTTCACATTTTAAAAGGGTGTAATGGTTTTTTTTCTTTAGAAAGCAGAGGTGACACTGCAAATTGTGAAGTAAATCAGAAACACTCGGACAATTGGAAGGAAACTAAGAGGAAAAGAAAAGAAACAGAAAAACATAAATCAAAAAGGAGGAAACAAGTTGAAGGTACAGAGACTGAAATAAAATCTAGAGTTTCCAGGAGCCTTATTTCTTCTGTATCTGGAGAAAAACAAGCAGAGGCAGGACAAGCAATGCATTTTGGAAAAAACAAGGCCCAGAAAATAGACACTATGACAGAAGACACTGAATATTTATCAGAAGCAAATGCATGTTCAGGTAACTCTGCGTTTTCCATCTGCTTTTAATTACCTCTGCATTGAGGGAATGTATATATTATATATATGTTAGCTTTCCACTGCAGTGCAAAAATCCTGTCTAGTCTTAATATTCTACTAGACTGGATCAACTCTTTTGCATTAAGAACTATTGAAAAATGGATAACATTTCTTCTGCAGGTGTTGAAAAGGAAGACATGCTCTGGACAGAAAAATACCAGCCTCAAGATTCCAGTGAACTTGTAGGGAACAAAAAAGAAATTGAAAGGCTACACAGGTCAGAAGTGGGAGCATGGATCCATTATTAAAATAACTTCTAAAAAGCCTGTTATTTCATTAAAGAAGTGAAATAATTATTTTACACTATGCTTAAATAACACTTACAGGGTGTATGTTTGTGGTCTTTGCTTTGGTTTTCTTCCAAAAACTTGAGAAAAAAATTGTCAGTTGGTGTGAATGATCTTTTGGTCATAGTTTCTTTTACAGTAATACTTTGGTAGCCTGTATGGTATGTTACAAAACAAAAACACACATGAAATGTTACATTAGACTGTGGGATAGAATGAAATACTTCAGTAACTAATTCCCTTACAATTTTAATAAAAAATACTTTTTGTCAGGTTATTTAAGTTTACAAACTGTGAATGAGAGATGGACACTTGCCAGTACTTGTCTGTCCTTCCATACAAGCCTGCCTGATATCCATCTAATAGATTGTGCTTTCAGTTAAGTTTTCTGTGTGGGTTTAAATTATTGTTGTGGCTCTTACGGGGAATTTAAAGATCCATCTGACAAACACCACTAAATTATGAATTATAAAGCATTTTCCACAGTTCAAGTAGTTTGCTAAGTGGGTTGTTACCAATTGGCTAATGCAGCAGAGAATGAAGGAATCCTCTTTAACAAAAGAATCAAACCCTGCACAACTTTTTTTTTTTAATTTTATTTGGAAGGGCTTGAGAAGTTTCTGAGAGGCTGATGAAAGTGGCTGATGTCCCCTTGTTTTATGTTCTGTTCCATTTAAAATTTGTTCTCTTTATTCAGCAGTAATTTATATTTTTTTGTTCTGTTCCTTCCTCTTACAGTTGGCTAAAAGAATGGAAAAAAAGAGCTGATTGGGAAGAAAAAAGAAATCAGAAAGGGGAAAAGGAGGACAAAGAGCATCAAGGTGCTGATGGAATTAAAAATTATATATGTGTGTGTGTATATATAGCTTGTGTTTGTTAAAGTTGGTGTAATAATTACATTAAGTGGTAATAGTTTGAACAGTCCTTTCTTCTGTTTTACATAATTATACAGATTCTTCAGACAGTCTTGACTTTAAAGATAGTAAATCTGATATGGAGGAGGAGACCAGCCTTTGCAACACAGTTCTGATAACTGGCCCGCCAGGAGTGGGGAAAACTGCTGCAGTGTATGCTTGTGCTCAGGAGCTTGGCTTTAAGGTCTGTGGGGTCCTTTCCTCAGGACCAGTTTTCTTATTTGTAACTAGTGATATGAAAGCATTTGTACTACAAGATGTCTAAATGTTTTCATGTATATTAAATACCACTGCAGGTATTTGAAGTCAATGCCTCTTGCCAGCGTAGTGGTAGACAGATTCTGTCTCAGCTGAAAGAAGCTACTCAGTCTCATCAAGTGGACAAAAAAGGCATTAATGCACATAAGCCTTGTTTTTTTAACAGTTATAGCAGTGCCAAATCACCAAGTAAGTTTAATGATTATATCTGGGCTTTTGTTGTTTGGTTGGGCTTTTTCTGGGTTGGTTATTGTTGTTTTTTTCTAGGAACTGAATTCTTAAAACAATTGTTAGATATCAGTTATTTAAAAAAAGATAGTAAATTTCAGTTTATCTGGCCATAATTATAAGAAATGCTTCAATGCTTTGTTGGTTAAAACAACTACATACCAAATTACAAAACTACTTTCTCAAAATTACTGATTCTTGATTATCTTAAGGTATTTTTGTAGTGGTGGAGTAAGTGCTATGGAACTTAAATAGGACTTAAAGCATTCCCTATAACAGGATAAAAGTAAAATAAGCAGGAATCAGCACAGTAAACCTGTCCTGTAGTAGATACAAAACTGAGATTTGCTCTAAATTTGCATGTGAAAAGTTAGCTTGAAATTACATTTCCAGCTAAAGTTTAATATAAAATATATCTTGCAGAAAAAATGTATTCTCCAAAAAAAGTTGTTTCACCAAGGAAGCCTCCACTCTCACCTAAAGGAGCAGGATTAAAACGAAACTTGCACCCTAAAACACTTGCAAACTATTTCAAAATTTCTTCCAAACGTAAAAGTAATGAAGAAGTAACTGCTCAAGAAAAAAAGGGTAGGTATGGCAATTTAATAATCAGTTACCTTTGGAGATGGAAATGCTGCACATATTACTGTGTGTGGGGAGCTGTGTGGAGAAAAGTATTAAATTAATTAAAAACTGGCTCTAGGAAAAAACACCTTTAGTTATCTCAGTGCCCATTTCAGATGGGTGTGGAATGGTCATTGTGCTAGGTGTATATAAATTATATGTATATAATATATATATCTCAAATATTGGCACAGATTTAGGAGGTCCTGTAAAGCTACTAATATTTTATTACAGACTGGACTTTAGTACACAGAAAGACACTCTGAAATCTTTGAGTCTCTTAATAGCTGAAGGTATATTTCCAAATGTTTCATGGGATTAGAAAGTCTTAACGACAGGTTTTTAAGATCAAAAGAATACATTTGGACAAGCCAGCAGTTTTTGCAGACACTGCAGAGGAATGCATGAGCAAAGTGCTGGGTTGAATCGGGGCAGTCAAGAACGGTCCTTGAATTTTCAGACAATCAAATTGCATTGTCTTGAAGGACTGACATCAGCTCCACGCCCACACATCACAGGTCACAAACAGGTTAGGTGCAAAGTTAATTTTAGAGAGTCAGTTCCTTCACCAAATACTGCTTAGTTCCAGCAAATTTGTTGCTTGCTTTTTTTTTTTTTTTAAATAAACAACCAAAACAAAAAAAAAAAACCAAAACAAACACAAAACAGCCATCAGAAAAGGAGGTAGGTCAGATCAGGGTAGACTTTCTTAATTAATACATAAATCAATAATAAAAGGATCTTTTTGAAAGCAGTGTTTGGAAAGCTTATTCAATTGTTTCAGTCTTTCTTTACCTCATGCTCAATTTTTCACCCATCTGCAGGAAATATTCAAAATTCACATGAAGAAAAGAAAGATGCCCAAGTTAAGTCAATTAACAAGGAACTAGAAGGAGGAGAACACAACAGAAAAAGTGCAACATCTCTCATTCTTTTTGAAGAGGTAAAATTCACATGTCATCTGTTGATGTGAGCAGTATATCCTTTCATTATGTTTAAAGACCTTTAAACTTTTTAGACTTTTTGTTTTTTTCCTCCCTGAGGCCAGTAACTTCCACTGCTTGTGCATGTTCAAGAAATCTGCATTAGTATTAAGTCCCACTCAGTCATTAACAGTATCACTGCGTTCACATTCGTCACTGCAGCTTCAACAGCTGTTGAAGTTTTGTACATCATCTGTTTTCTATAGGTGGATATAGTATTTGATGAAGATGCAGGATTTCTAAGTGCAATAAAGACATTCATGGCAACTGCAAAGAGACCTGTGGTTCTTACTACCAATGGTGAGTAGTGCTGGTTACAGCAATTAGGCTTTATAGACAGAAGAACTTCATCTAATAAGATGGTTTAAATGGTGATGGTTGAATACAGCTCTTAAATGTAAAATTAAATGAATGGAGACTATTTTTAGTATTTTAGTATTTGAATAAAGATGCTGGCTGCTCTAACAGGTAAAGAAAATAATTAGTTTTGAACATAATGTTTTGACAGTTAACTGGTATCTCTTTAAATAGATCCAACATTCAGCTTGATGTTTGATGGCTATTTTGAAGAGATCAGCTTTAGAACCCCTTCCTTGGTAAGTCTGTGCTTGGAAATGCAGGTACATCCTAAGCAAGTAATTGTCAGTTGATTGAAGTTTGAAATGTAAATGTTGGTGTAGGGGAACATTTATCTGATGTAATATATCTCTTTACTCAGAAGACTGTTTTCAGTTTTTATGGAAGGATGTGTGGGATGGATTTGTCTATACATATGGAATTCTTTTTACTACTATGGAAGACTTATTTTTCTAACTATTTAGTATTTCAGAGAACTACAGTAAGAGTATCACTTCATCAGTTATTTTTGGTTTTAGGATGGAGTAAATTATTTCATGTATGATAGATCTAATAGTTTTGATCTGAAGGCTGACTATGCCAGTTTACGTTCATTCATGAAAAACAGAGAAACTCTTCTAGGAATATTAGGGGTTATTCCTTTAATGTAAACACTAATATTCTGTATAGAAAATAATTTTATTTGTTGCTATGTATTATATGAAAAAAAAACCCTAAATAAATCAGAATCAGAAGGAACTAACTTTTGAGACAGGGAATTTTTTTATATTAAATTGAAAGGTTTTGGGGCTATCAAACAACTGCAGAGTTAGAGAAAGAAATAAGAAACCTCTGAAGTGAATATAGTTCACTAAAACCTGCTCACTGGTGATGAGAAGCAAAGTGTACATGGTTTCAGGAACATAAGCAGATTATGTGAGGTTTTTTTGCTTAATGAGTTGGAATTCTAAATAGACCTTAATTCTCTGACGTGGACTGATCAGTAGAGTCTTCTGCTTTACCACAGAAGTTTTGATGTAACTGAAATCTAATGCACTAAACCAATCCTCTCTATTAAAAGGAAATGTATTGCAAGCATAAATAGAATAATTTGCTTCTGTGTGACTTACTGCAGTGTACTTGGTAGGAGTTGTTTTCAGTGGTCTTTGTCTAACTTCTGTTTAGATGAATGCTGCCAGCTACCTTCAGGTGCTGTGTCTGGCTGAGAATCTGCGCACAGATGTGAAAGACTTGGCTGCTCTGTTAACCACAAATAACTGTGACATCAGACAAAGTGTTCTCTATTTACAACTTTGGGTTAAAAGTGGAGGTGGATGCTTGAAAGACAAACATTTGTCACATCATGGTAGGTTGATTTAAGCAAAATAGTTCTCAATCTTAATATGAATTTGATTAAATTAAACCATTCTTAGACATGTATGAATAGATTGTAACTATGGCCTGGAGTAGTTTCCTTTTGACTCAGAATTGCCAGTTCTTTATCCATTTAGCTGAGTTGTAAGTAATTGATCTAGAAGAAGCAGAATTATAAAAAAAGGTGAAAAACTGGACAATTTGCAGACAGGCAGCAAGAGCAGGGACTTGGTCCCAGAAGATACACTCGGAGCATCCTCAGCACGTTGGGGTGTGTCAGACAGTGTGTGAGTGAGCAACAGAGGCTGGTGGAGCATCAGAGGAGGAACAGACTAATTCAAATGGTTATTTGCAAAGAAGGGAGAGCTGGTAGACTGGTAACACCTGGGGATGATGAAGGGAGGTGGGATGCAATTTCAGTTGCTATATTCTTTCAGAACTGCACCAGGAGGCAACAGTTCCGCTAACCTTTGTAACAGGAATCCAGGCAAAGGAGGAGGGGTGGAACCAATTTCATTATTCAGTTTTCTTTCCAAGTAAAGCATGTTATCTTTGTGCAGGAGGAGATGAGACAGAGAAAGCAGATCACATAATTCATCCTGAACAGACTGCTGATTCCAGGATTGACTTTTCTCAAGCTGATCCATGTCTTAAGGAGTTTCCAAAATGTGATACAGGCTGTGTAGAGACATTGCTTGGCCTTAAGAATATCCTGTTGCCTTCAGAAGATTTGTTTACATTTCTTAAGGTATTTTTGTAGCTGACTAGCTAATACTTTAAATAATTGCCAGATAAATGTGTGCTTATCATTATGAATGGCATCTTCTTAGAAGCAAGTATCTTTGAAAATATATATTGTAAAAATTAGATAATTTTGTCATTACTAATTAAAATCTGAACTTGAGGCAGTCTCCTGCAAGCAAAACAGTCCCTCACCTCATAAACACAAAGCCAGGAGTAAGAGATTTTCTGTAACAATATTTTCAATTTTAAAAAATATTTTTGTATTAATAGATTCTTCATTATTATTATTTTACAGCACAAAATCACAACCAAGGAAAAATGGAATAAATGGATGCAGCTGCTCACAGAATTCCAGATGAAGAATGTAGATTTTATGTATAATAATCTTGAACTTATTCTTCCCTTGCCAGTACAACTCATTTCAAACCAGTCTCAAGCCTCTAACTCTCCACTTGAAAGGACTACCATAGTTTCTTCAAAAAACAGATCTACTAATAGTTACTGCCCTGGAAAAAGGTCTAAAAAGACAAAGAAGCAGAAAAAGCTTAAAATACTAGATGATAGTGACTTATTTGATACTGGACTGAACTATTCAGCTGAATTCATAACTTTGCCATTGGATAGCTCTACATCATGTGATGAAGTGAATAAAGAGGAATCAAAGTTGTCGATAAACAAAGAAGAAATTAAAACTAAAACCTCAGCAAATAAGAGCTCTGCTCTGGTTTTTCAGTGTCTGAATTCACTGGCTGAATTTGTGGACAACATGTCATTCTTGGATTGCTGTGTAAACACTAACATCAGGGAACCACTGGAGTTTTCTAAAGATGAAGGATTTAATTGGAGAAATGGCAAAATCAAAAATGGTCTTTGTGATGAATTCAGTATAGAAAATACTGATTGGTGGAGTTCCCAGAGCTGCAGTGAAATAAAGGCAGCTATTGAAGCACTAAGTTTTAACAAATGTTCTGTTAATACTTCACAAAACTTAGAATCTTCTTTGAGTACCAGTAAAACACCTGAAAGTGATCAACTGGAGGGACTTACCTTGCCTATTTCAAACACAAGAAATTATGTATCCTTCAGTCAGTCGACTGAGTCAAGGTAAGACTTTGCTAGTATTTCTGGAATAGAAAGCAGTTATTTGTCAAGAAAAACGTTTAACAGGGTGTAGGAGTGTTTCATACCCATTCATACCAATATTAATGTTACCAGTCTGTTTCAAAAGGCTGGAATATGTTGTTCACTTTGCTTGTATAAGCTTAAAGGAACTGCTTAGCAATCTCTGCAAGAAGTGACTTTTCTGAATATTCTGACTATAATGTTCAGGAATGGTAGCTTTAATGTAGTCTATTTGCTTGAAAACAAACAGATTAACACCCTAAAAAGAATTTAAAAAACCTAAAGGAAATGGCTTTTTCAAGACAGACAGATGGACTGAAATGGATTCTGCAAGTACTAGACATGCAAATTTCTCATCCAGTGCCTGGTCATATTGAGACTGTATGAATTGCAAAGGTGTTGCTTAATGAAGACCTAACAAAGTTCAGAGCAAAGTTATTGCATTTTTTTTTGTAGTAACTTATGCTAACAAAGAACAACCCTTAATGTCTAATAATAGATCAAAGAATACATTTCTGCTAACAAGAGTGGATATGAAGGATGCTTTTTAACATAAACAGGTCATCATAAGTGAAACTGGCATAATAGGTGAATAAAACCTATTTAAGAATCTGAAAACGGGTTATCCCACAATGGATCTAACCATTTAACCTGTGACCAGGGTTGACCAGTATGTCATGACTTACAGATTGGATTTGATATTGACATTCTGGCAATTGTGGGACACTTTTTATTTTTGAAGACCACAGGTGCTTTCAGCTACACTGTCTAACATGTCCTGATCTTCAAATACAAAAGTGGGTTGTGAAGATGTTGCCAGATTAGACTCCATAGTTAAGCTGCGAGCATTGGCCAAACAAGCTGCTGTCCCTCAGCTTTCTGTTGAGTGCAGCTGTGATGCTGTGCAGGCTTCCAATCCATGGGGACACAGTTTGGGACATTAGTGTGTTTAACAGAGATTTATATTTAGTTGTTGAAAACTTGGATTTGATCTTAAAAAAACAAAAATAGGGACTGCACAGTCTTGAGCAAGAAACAATAAACCTGCAATCTCCATTTTAGCATTCACGAAAAAGCACAGAGGAGACTGGCAGTCATCAGAACTGTGTTTTCCAGAAGTCCTTTAAACCTGGGTAATAAGCAGGCCAGCTTACTGGAATACCTGCCCACTCTTCGCAGTATCTGTAGGTCTGAGAAGCTTAAAGAGCAAGGGAAGACTAAAAGAAGGTAAGTTTTGGTTTTCCTCAGTCTTGCTACATTTCAATATACAAGGTAGTTAAGAAGTTTAATAAAATACTTTGCCAAATAATTCTAGACAAGAAAGGTGAATGTTTGCCTCTCAAGTCATAGAATTGTTGCCTCATATTTGGAAATAACTTTGTCCCTTTATAGTCACTTTTATTCTTCTTTTTATAGGTTCTTGCATTATCTTGAAGGGATTCACCTTGAAATACCCAGACAAATGATAAACGATCTATCTCTGGACTTCCCTTAAACTTGGTCGCACCAGAAATACTTTGTGCCTAATGGTGATATTTTCACCATCATTTGATTATTTTTTAATTATTTTTTTTAACCACATGATTTTATTGTATATTCAGAGCCATTTGTATATTAAATTTCTATAAGTATTTAAAATAATGTATATATCTATTGTCATGATATTGCCCTCCACAACCGAAATGTGGGTTGGTTTGGTGCTTGTCCAATAAGTGCATTTATAACATTAAATGCACAAACTAATAAACGGGGACATCAGATCTTTCTCTGTAATTTGTTTATCACATATCAGCAAGTCCTTTTGTAAAGAGCAACTGTCACAACTTCACCAGCAAAGTTGTTTGGTTTTTTGGTTTGTTTTGGGTTTTTTTGAGGAGACCATTTTACTAAAATAAGCTTGTTTATTTCTGAATTTGCAGTTAATTGTGAAATAACCCATGGTGGGAGGGGACAGGGAGAGGATGCAACAGTCTTCTAAAATGTAAATGACTAAAAACAGCTCTATACCATAACAACTGGGTAACAAAGCCCTTACAAAGCACAGTGCTTCAGTGCACATATATTTGTATAAGTTGGTTTAATTTCATTCTTTTCAGCTGTCAGATCTGCATGTTAATCTCCTAAAATGGTAGAGAAGTGATTACTGTAGCTCAAGATGGACTCAATAGGCAAGATTTTGTAAATATCAATTATTCCAATGTTACTTTGGTTTCAGTAATATTTAACTACTTCTAGTCTTGTATAGTGTTATATTTTTATACTTCATTTTGTATTTGACAAGACTTCAGCCTGATTATTTGTGATTGAATGTTTTTATATGACAATAAATTTGTGAAACTTGGCTACAATTCTGAATATTTCTCTTGTATGAAAAGTAAGACTGCTAAAATGTAGTGTTTTCAGCCCATAAAGATGATGTATAAGGTTGTTTTTTTTTCAACTGGAAATATTTCAAGCATGTACTTTTCAGCCTTTATGTTGCAGTTGGACTGTTCCTCAAACTGAGTCAGGTTGGTGCTGTGCAGTGGTACTCCACTTACCTCAATGTTTCTGTAATAATAAGGAAGGTTATTTTTAGTACATTCTGTTCTTATATTTTTCATGTCTTAAAGGTGTTCAGGAATGAGAAATATTTATGAAAATGGTAAATTATTTTAAGGTTCTGCATTGGAGACAATAATCTTGATTGCTTCCACTTTCAGTGGACCAGAATTATCAAATAAGAATGAAACAAAGTGGCATCTGTTAAAATCTTACTGGGTTGTGTTCTTGTGTCCATGGTCTAAGCAACTTCTGTACATCTTTATAAAAATAAATAGAAAAAAAAATATTAAAAAGTAAATGTGTATCTCTTCACTTTGTAAAGACATCCTCAGTCTAACTAGATGACAGGGGGGAGCTACATAAATTAAAACCAAGCCCTAATAAAGTATTACTATTTTAGGAAATTCATAGGTAATTTAAAAGGCCAAGTTGAAATCAATGGGACACAACATATCTCCATTCAAAGACAACTCTCTGGTTCTAATAATTGCCTTAAGAATTTTTAATAGAGTCTCCAGGCTAAGGAGTCCAAAGGGTAAGATGGAATTCAAGTATTTCTCTTCTTGATAAGATACTTGTGTGAAATTACCACATAAAAACAGCTTAAGCTAGTTTCAATAAAAATATAATCTACTTGTAAGTATTTGAACTCAGATAAACTAGCATCTTTGCGTTCTTATGCAACAAGTATGAACACCTTGTGTATGCTAGAGGAAAGTATGTTTCTGTGAGGGATGGGCTGGTCTTGAGGAAAAGATCTCAGGCTGGTCTTGAGGAAAAGAGATCTCAGGCTGGTCTTGAGGAAAAGAGATCTCAGGCTGGTCTTGATTACTTGGCTTAAAATGAAATGCTTCTCAAGATTTATTCCAGTACTCCAGAAGTTGCGTACCTTGGATTTAAAATGTTTTCCTGCAATAGTTTGGGCCCTGCTTAGCAGAAAACACCTTTTCTTCCAAAACAAAAATCAGCTTCAGGCATCTTGGGAGTGACTGAAGATACCTAGAAGGGAAAAAGACAAAGCCTGTGATCTACTTAAACAAATAACTTGGTGAAACCAGAAGTAAAAGAACCCTGGAGTTTCAGAATGACTCTACACTCTATGTAAGCAGTAAATATTGCTAGATGTACAGTAATTTAAAATGCAAAAAGGCAGCAAACTTTATTGAAATCTCATTCATGTTTCAAGCTTTTCTTTCTTTTTACTGTCATTCCAATGTTGCTTTCTAGAATGCAAATGAAGCTGATGTTCTTCTGCAATCCCATCGGTGATACAGAAAAAAGCAGTTAAGGCTTGGGCATGTTCTTGCAAGCACAGTGTTTTGATGCTGATGCAGAGTAGAAGTAGGAGGATGGAAGGATCCTTTTACAAGCAAGACCATCTCAGGCTTTGTAAAAACTCTGAAACAGGGCAAGATGTATCTTGCGACCTGATGTCTGGGAAGGACGTGACCCTTGCAAGTCACAGAAAGACACTGAAGACCAGCCAGCCAAGTATGACACTGTAAGAAAAATCATGGGGCTTCTGACCAATGCTGAGGTTTTTTTTGATGGTGAGTTTATATGTTGTCTTGAATATAAATAACCATTTTGTCATACAGGTTCTCTTATTTTACAGGATTTGTGCGGACACTCCAAAAATTAAGCTAGCAAAAGAGCTTCACTGTGTGGCTTGCAAGAAAATTATCTCTGGAGAAAATTAAATCCAGGTTTATATTGTAGGATGCAACAGTTCTTAAGGGTAAGTGCTGAAAAGAGTTTATGTAGGTAGTTGAAAAACTTTTTAGATATTCTACTGCTGCTTGTTTCATGACCACGATATTTAACAATAATTAAAAGGTATAGTGCTATTTAGTGCCTAAAAAGATAGTCTGTAAGTATTTTCAACTGGTAATACATGTCTAATATAGTATTTTGTCATCTGCAGAGTTTAAAAAAGGTTATACATAAAGTTTACTGAAGAATCATGTTAGTGGAATTATAGTTGCTATGTTATACTGTACTATATAACATTACTATAGTGAACTATAATCATGCAGAACAGCTATGCAAATTAAGTTTAACCTGAAACTAGTAAAATGAAAAATGACATACCTCTTAATCTTTAAATAAACCTTCTTAAAAATCTTTTCCTCATCTCTTTTGCATTTTTCTTTTCTTAGATAAACTGAACGTCAAGTCGCAGCCTTTTTGGCATTGCCTTTACCCTGAACGGGGCCGGTTTTCATCTGGCTTCTGCAAACCCTGCAGCGCTCCCGTTTTCCCTGGGTCCGGGGTTTTTCCTCGCAGCTCCTCCGGGGATGCCGTGGTGCAGGTTGGCAGAGCTCTGCTCAGGGCAGGGTGGGCTCACCCGTGGGCTATCGATGGGCGGCTGCTGAGGGGATGCCGTGCTTTGTAATTATATGTATTTAGAGAAACATGAGGTGGAATTGAGGCAAACCTGTGGGTGCGTGGATGGGCAAGGTCCTGGAGACGGGCCTGTTGGTAACTGAATGTTGAGAGGAGAAAGGCGCAGCTCGCTGGGCAGCCCCGTCCGTTACCGACCCGCCTC